AATGCAAATGTCTTATTCCACCAATATTCCTCGATGCCATCTATATCTCGGAGTTAAGTCTCGTGAGGGATTTGGTCAAATACAAGCCTCATCATTCGAGCAGTCCAGAAATTCCGAACACAATGCGGCATTGTTGCTCTGGCGCCGGCGTCATGGGTGAAGCTGCAGGGTTGTCTTGTCAAGCCCACAGCTCCCGGACAGCGCGTCATTAGCCCTGGCTTGGTTGGCTGTGCGCGAGCCGCCGCACTCCAAGGCCGTCTGGGGCGGCCCCATGCTCCGGGTTGGCTCGCCCGGAGCGCCTGAGGGTGGGCGTTCAAGGCGAGCTCACGGCCGGGCTCGCGCACGACCCCACCGGCTCCATGTCAGAACCGTGACAAACGCATGCACCTCACACCCGCTGACCCCCGCCGTGAGAGCGGTTCAAGGGAGCGGGTCACCTTCGGTGGGAACGGGACGGGCCGGCCTTGCTGCTCCTCACCCCTCCCCCCGCAGCTCTTCACGCCCGCGGCGCCCCACACGTGAGTCACGAGAGAGACCAGTGCCCCTCATCGCCCTAGGGCTGATGAGATAGCCCCGAAAGGAGGCTCAGTGATGGACGAGACGGTGCAGCACCGACGACATAGGGCTGGGGCAGCACGTAAGCAAGCACTCACGATTTGCCAAGCGCTTACCATGTGGCAGATGGTCTCGAAGGTCTTCACAGCCAAACATACGTGGACACCCTGGAAAATATTCGCAGCTTAATAGACGCCCGATAAACATGGAAGCTAGTGCTCAGTCATGCAGTGTCTAGCAATGGGAGATATGTCTCATGCGCATAGTTCGCGCGACAGGCCGAGATGATGTGTGTCTTACTGGCGATATTAGCCGAGCTATTTAATTAGATAGCCACTGCCAGCTGCAGTCGCTTCGGCGTCGCTCACGGGGGTTTCTGCCAAGGTATCATATGCCACCCTCATGGTTTAATTACCGACCAAAATGAAACATGCAGTTCTGAAAAGCATGGAGTATGGAGTGGCGAAACATGAATAATAACCCTCCGAAATGGAAGTTTGTTATGGCGAAGTTTCAGAGGAGAAAGCTATAACACTTTATCACATGGCTAGTTTCCTCCTCGATTGCTACATGCCCTTCCTTCCAGGATTGCTCCCACACAATTGCGCGAGACCAAATCTTTCGAAATGCGGCCGATATAGTCGTAAACTGTGTGACCCATTCACAAAAACCTTTATTTTCCTCCACTCCTCTTCTCCTTGCCATGGCAAACAGCGGAACAATAGGCATTTACACATAACCGCCGGCAAATCACAGGGCGATGAGAGCGGTTCAGAATCGATTTCTCGCCATCGCTTGCGCAGCACCCCATTTTCTCACGCCCTGTGCCCAATAAACCTGAGCTCGTGAGACAGTCGCAAGGAAATAGTGCAAGCCAAAGCGGCAGAGAAATCATTTCATTTACATCAGCGACACAATTCGAGTAGCCTTTGATCGCTTTTGCAAGCGGACTTTCACGCAGAAAATCCGTCGTGACGATTGATGATCTGCAGGAAAAGCAAGTCCCATGCTGTGCTCAGCCAATTTGATTAGTTCGCTGAAAGAAAACCACACTGCCACTCAAGCTCACCTTTGTGTGTAGAAACTAACGCTAAGCAGCGCGAGAACGGGGGATCCAGGGGTTCAGAAGACTGATGTTCTGGAAATTTAGCATGAGCCCTACGAGCATTTATGGACGCTGGCCAGAAGCAAATGTCCAAGAAGAGCTTATGCCTTGCCTTGGAGACCGTCCATTGCTCCCCCTCCCCCACCCACCAGCGGCAACGCTAAACTTACCCCAGAGCACAGCACCTGTCAGATCAGTGGCAGCGGCTGCCGCCGCGTCGTCGGGAGCGACGCGGCGCACGGCGGCGCCGTTACGTCACGCCGGGGCAGCGTGACGCGCGCCCGTGCTGCGGTGGACGCCGGCGCTGATGGGTCCGGCGCCGGGCCCGTCAGGCAGCCCGCGCCGCCGGCGCCGCGTCGGCCGGCCGTGACGGCGCCGCTCGGCCAGCCGGCCGGCGGGGCTCACGAGCCACCGAGCGTGGCGAGCCGAGCGCCCCGGCCCGCAAGGGGTCGCTCGGGTCGAGGCCGGGTGTCGGGGTGACCGGGCCCGGACCCGCCACGTGCTCCGAGCTGGGTGAAGGGGAGGGCGTGGCTGCGGTTCTCACCCGCCTGCCCCCTGCCAGTTACAGGTGCTGACACAAAAGCTGTGCTGACACATCGCAGACAGGCTTCCTGAGTCCTGACCTCCTCGCCGGCCGGGACAGCAATCCTGGCCTCGCTCTGCCCGGCCGGGACAGCAGCCATGGCCTCGCCCTGCCCGGCCGGGACAGCAGTCGCCGCAAGCTACCGTGTGCCGTGAAGCGGTGCACCGAACACGACAGGGCCCATCCCAGCTTCCAAACGACCCTTTCGGGCCGCCGTGCGTTGGTACTGCCACTGTTAGTCCAGGACAGTGCACTGCGCTCGCTCTCGCTGCACTCGCTCCTGATAGCGACCGCGCAGTGGTCTGACCTGAAACCGTCCTCGCGTTAGGTCAACACAGCCCTCCGGGAAGTGCATAAGCGAGCCTGGAAGCCCTCTGAGGAGTGGATCAAAAAGTCTCACAGCCCTCTGAAGAGTGGATGAACGAGTCTCACAGCCCTCTGAGGAGTGGATGGGCGAGTCCCACAGCCCTCTAAGGAGTGGATGAGCGAGTCTCCAGCCGCTGGCGCCGGCAGGGTGTCAGTCCACCGTGTGACCATCCAAATCACATCCGGTCGCAGAAAAACGGAGGCGTGATGACGCCGGATAGTGGAAGGGCGCTGCTAGGCATGTCAGACGATGGGAACGTCTGGGCCAGGACTCGGAACGACAGTGAGATGGTGTTCACAAAGGAGGCAGAAAAACGCCTCGGTCGCTTCAGCGAATGTATGGGTGATATTCCGCGCCTCGCATGTCAGCCAATTTTCTCGGGACCAAACGGGGGCTCCTGCTACAATAGGAGGGCATCGGTGTGTCATTGGAGGATTCTAGAGGCTGTGCTCATGCACCGGTGTTTTGGCACCACGAATGCCTCTCCGGTGGCTAGCCCTCACGTGACGCCGTCCGCCTCGCTCTGATAAGTCTGACTCGGTTCCGGCAGTCCCAATTTCAAAGCCGCATAGCATCGGGTCATGATGCACAGCGACGAACCATTCCCCAGTCAGTACCGCTGACAACCAGCGGCGTACGTCAGCGCAGCACGGGCTCGTTGGCGCCCGTTAAAGTGGGCGTAGCTCTGAGACGGGTCGTGGCAACGGAACGACAGCGCTGCGCCGCTCCTATTCAAGTCAGGCGCTCCAGGGAGGTCGCGGAGAGGAGCGGGAAACAGCTCAAACCCGCATTACTATGCACACCTCGCCAGAGGTCCGGGCCGTTTCCAAGTGATTTGAGGCGCGGTGATGACGGCAGCGAGACCATCTTTTGCAACGGGTCGTCCGGGCGCGCGCGTGTCGGGGCGGCTCGTTCCCACTGATTACACCTCTCACGGGGTCGGCCCGGCGCCCTGGGCGGCGCATCCCGACACCTGGGGCGGGTCGACTGGCGCAACGGTGTGGCGCAAGGCTGCGGCGCGCCTGGCAGATGTCCCCGCCATCCATCAGCCGATGGCGCCGGCGGCGCGGCCGCGTCGGCCGGCCGCCCGCCCGCGCTTTTAGCGCCTCTCACGGCGTGTAAACAGGCGCCGCGCCTCCCCGGCGGGAGGCGTGGGGCGCGCCGCGGCTGGGGAGGCACCGGTTCGGCCAGTGTGCCGCCGCGCTGCTGACCTCAATCTCTCTCGCTTTACATTTTCCAATGATGTGCCTTCGTGGCGGGTCAGACATGTCTGCGTCCGCGCCATCCGTGTGTGTGTGTGTGTGTGTGTGTGTGTGTGTGTGTGTGTGTGTGTGTGTGTGTGTGTGTGTGTGTGTGTGTGTGTGTGTGTGTGTGTGTGTGTGTGTGTGTGTGTGTGTGTGTGTGTGTGTGTGTGTGCGCGCGCATGGATGTGTGTAATTTTTCTGTTACAAATCGCGTGTCAAAGGTCAGGCAGCGCTGGGTTCGAGCATCACAGGGCGCAGCTGGCCGCGGTGAAAACATTGCACAATTGGCCAATTGCCGAGCCCTGGCGCCGATGGCGGGCGGCCCGGGTCGGGTCGGGTCAGGTCAGGCGTGACTGAGGTCAGCCAGCGTTCCCGAGACGGCGGACGCCGCCGCCGCTCATGATGCGCGGGTCACGAGGATGGGCGGCCAGTGATAAACGGCCATGACCGCGGAGCGGGTGAGTGAATGGAATTGAATGGAGATGACGGAAAATTACCGGTGGATGCCTGTCACGTTAGCGTGATAGTATTGACTGTGAAACTAATGGCTTCCGATCCAATTCGTGACTCAAGCTTACCGTTCCGGAATGCGCCCATGAGCTGGATAAGTTGGAATATGATCGCTTATAATCCTGCGACTGTCTCGCTTAAATGAATATGCTGGTCAAGCTAAAGATGATAAAAATGCAATATAAAAAACGTATGCATAGTTACATCAATTTCATAAGGGTGATTTAAACATATGCAAAACTGAAGGTGCACTGATATTATCTGCGAACAGGCTGCAAGCAGTAAATAGTTGGCATTGCTATTCATTTCAAATAAAGTCGTGGCATTTCATGACTAAGGTCTAGATCGTGTTTAAAGCCTAGACGACGTTACCGGATATACCGCCCTCCACTGCACACCATGAGGGTATTACATGGCTACACGTCCAGGTGAACATGATTTCATTCACGGTGGTTACGGACATGACTTCGTTCACATGGTTTCGTTAACGGTGGTAACGCTCATGGTTATGCTCATGGTGATTACATGGTTTCGTTCACGGTGGTTACATGGTTCCGTTCATGACGATTACATGGTTTCGATCACGGTGGTCACATGGTTGCGTTCATGGTGGTTACATGGTTCCGTTGTTCACAGGCGGAGGAACCGCTCATCGCGCCGAAAGAGCAGCGGGTAAGTGAACGATGCGACCTTCGGACGCCGTGGAGCCCGCTCCCACCCACGGGCGCCCCACGTGACCGCCCAGACGGCTCCAGTATGCATGGCGACTGACTCCGTGTCCTTCATTGTGTTGTCTCTTCAATCACGCACACCCTGCAAATGTGGCGGCTCGCCAGAAAGATGAGCTACTCTCAGCTTTCGCCTGGAGTCAGGGAGGAATGACTCACGAAAAGCATCTAAATTTTAGACCGGGAGCTGCAGCCACGGCGGCGTGTTTGCAGGGTGTGCTTGCACTTTCTCCCTGGGACTTGGACCCGCACCAACTTCTTCGGTTTCACCTGTCTGACGCGCAAGTTGAGTCCTTCGATTGCTTATGTATGTGCATACACCACTCCTTCTTGCCGGACGCTGTTACTGACGAGTAGAGTAGCGACGTAGCGCATCTGGTCGGACATGACCTAATCGGCTCTCTATCAATCTTCTGTTTCTGACTTACTATGACAATACTTGGACACCCTGAATAAAATTGGATAGCATCGATGTTTTTCGTAAAACTCTGATTTGACTAGATGGCGTGACGCTGATTGGAAATACCAATCTGCAATACATCTTGAGAGAAATGAACGCCTCGTGTTAGTTCATTTCCATCGTACACACTTATTTCAACAAGTCATCCTCGTAGCCAACTTTACATTGGCACGCCAGATTAGCAGACGGTGAAAAGGCTCTCTTCCGCATTTTGCTCGTGCACATCCGAACCACTGGTTTCTTTGAATGTTTCTATGCCTTGTCAGCTTTGCACATACTCTTCCGTATGCCCTGTCTAATCTTTTTGTACCGTCTTCTCTGTTCTGTCAGATATTCAAGTCGAAATCAATGGTGATCTCACGACGACCAAATACCTGACCACCACCCGACCCCTTCCCACCGGCGTCCTCTTGTCCACGGCGCCTACTTTTGTCTCGGACGGCACCACATCCGAGTACACCACACTGGTCATCGGCACCGTCGCCAACGGCTTCTACTCGCGCATCGTGAGCACGGCCGAGCGCGTCTTCTACGCCATCCCGCGTTCAGGCGACCGGCCGCAACCGACCGGCGTGGTCTCGGAGGCGGTGAGCACGGAGGTGCAGGGTGGCGCCACCACCGTGCACCGCACGCGCTACATCCGCACCTCGCTGGGCGCCAGCTACGGCCAGGTGATCGAGCGGAGCAGCTCGGTGGTGCCGGAGCTGCAGAGCAGCCAGGCGGAGCCGGAGGAGCTGCTGCCGACGGTCACCGTCGGCGAGCCGCCCCAGTACGCCAGCTTCGCGCCGCACTTCACCGCCGAGCCGGTGGAGCTGAACGAGATCCCGCAGGCGCGTCGCGTCGTGGAGGGCGAGGAGATCATCATCGTGGATGACGTCGCACACCCAGACACCAGCCGCAAGATCCTGCCGACCTACACGGCCGATGGAAACCTGCTGGTGCTCAACACACCGCTCGTTGTAGTGCCGAACAGGGCGTCTTTCGAGAAGACGCAGGAGCTCCTCAACGAGAAGGTGAACAAGATGGTGAAGGATCTGGGTCTTGAGGAGCAGAGCACTCGAGTGTCAAGGGACTTCAACGACCTGGAGACCATCGAGATCCTGGAGGATTTGGCCCTCAGTGGTAGCGAGCTGACTACGGTGACGTATGTGGGTTTCTCCGACTTCGTCACCACCATTGGGAGCACCGTCGTGGTCTTCATGCCACAATCGGCGGGCGCAGCGAAGATCCGAGAGAAGATGAGCAAGACGGCTGGGCCCAACTTTGTGGGTCCAACGAGAGCTGGCAAGGACATCTTGCTTAGCCGTGCGCCGGTCTTCATTCCGAACCGCGGCGATGTCATCACAACGACTCGGACATTCGTCTCACACGATAAGATGGGCACGAAAACCGTTGAGGGTCACGACATCGAGGTAAAGAAAAACATGGCGACGTTAGTTGCCGGTAGGCCCGTGGAGACGGTGGTAATGAACAAAGATGAAGGAACCGTCACGCGGTTGGGAGCCGATTCCGTCGTTTCCGACAACGCCAACACAAACGTTCTCTCCACAGCCAGCACCAGGGTATACAACACTGTTGACCTTTACCCTACCGGCCTGGTGACCTCGATCGGAGGTACAGTGGCGCGTGATAAGGTCACCACCGTATTCACCACCCTCGTGTATGGCACCTTCATCAAGGGCCGCTACGCAAAGGTTGTAAAGAGCACGTCCAGCATCTACTATCTCGTGTCGAAGACGGACAGTTTCCAGCCTACCCCCGTTGTACAGGCCGCTCCGTCTACCCTTCCTATAATCAACAACAGTCTGGGAAGAGCTGTCGGCAGCAGCGCAGCGGCTCAGGTGATCGTCGCTAGCGCGGACGAGGCCAAGGCAGCGCTGAAGAACTCGCAGCTGGAGGGCAGCATCGACACGTCGTCGGCGCCGGCCCTGTTCTCCTCGCAGGCCGACAGCGAGGAGGAGAAGTCCGTGCTCAAGACATACTACACCACCTTCACTTATTTCACCACCCTTTCCAGCGGTGGGTCCACTGAGGTAAAGACCAGCCTGAGCACGGTGACCAGCGTGGCCACGGAAGGCCTGCAACCGGCACCGCTGACCTACTTTCCACCTTCACGTACTTCACAACGTCCCAGTTGGATGGCCGGGAAACCGTGTCCACTCGTTACGTTACAGAGTCGCAGGTGGTGACGCCCACCAAGGCGTCGTTTGTCAGCAACACCGAGTCGCTCAAGCACGTGACCAAGACGTTTTTCACCACGTACACGTATTTCACCACCTCCTACGCCGGGGAGAGCAGCATTGTGCAGAGCCGCCTGGTCGTTAGCAGCAACGTGGTGACGTCCAGCGTGCCTGTGTCCAGTTCGGTGGCTGCTCCCAGTGCCAAAGTGACCAAGGCGGGGGCATCGGCAGCACAGTACAGCACCGGTCTACTGTCTTCCCGCGTCTCCTCAGAGGTGAACAACGGCACCACCACCCTCTCCTCTACCGGCTACTTCGGCACCTCTGTAAACGGCTTGTATGCGCAGATCATCCAAAGCACGACGCAAGTCGTTGAATCTCCGAAATTATCTAGCTCGGTGCAGCCTATTGCTGCAACGCAAGCCAAGAAGGGACCGGTGTCGAGCTCTTTGGTGGTGAACAGCGGAGTTAGCGCAACACCGGCCTTTAATCGTCCTAGTTCTGCCACCAAGCCACTGCTGAGCTCTAGTTCTATCATCTTAACGTCCCCCAAGAACATTTTGTCCTCCCTCAGCGCCCAAATTTCATCCAGTGCGGCTTCTTCGTCCAGCCGCATTCAGTCGACCAACCGAAGCTTCCTACCCTTCCGCACGTCCAAGAACCGCAAGGCCGGAGGGCTGCTCGCTCTCCTCGCCAAAAGTGGTGGATTCTCGGTTCGGGAGTCCAAAACATCAGCGTCGACCAAATCAGGACCTACCAGCACGAGGGAGTCCCGTCCGCCATTAGAAATTCAGCAGACCTCGGCGTCAGGCTCGGAGTCCACACCAACGTCAACGCCTTCTCCAGCGGACATTGCATCCACTTCTGCCCAGAGACGTCTTGTTATCAAGACGCGTCGACCTTTCCCCGGCCTGAGGAGGCCTGGCCGACCGGGACTGAGAGGCTTGTTCAGAGACAGGAATGTTGCTGATGAAGTAACATCCGAGGAGCAGACTTCTGCCAAACCAGACATCGAGACTACGACAACTGATGATGTTGAAGATGAGCAGCCCATTGATCCTACAGAGGAGTCAGTGATCGAGAGGTTGTTGGAGACCACCACCAAGGCCGAAGTTGTAACAACGGAGCGACCACGAGTCCTGGCCTTCGGCAGAAAGTCGGCCTAAGAGCGGAACGCGAAACGCTCTTCCTCTTCGTCGCAAACCAAAAACCGGACCGAGGCTGTGGTCTTGCTAGCCGTTTTTTCATCAGTGACCGCCGGCAACATCGAACCGGAGGCTGAGACGACCACAGCTGCCACAACCACCACCACCACCACCACGACTACCGAAGCATCCACTGAACCCCCAACTGAGCCTCCAACCGAACCTCCGACCGAACGCACCGCCGAGCCTTCTCGTGAGCCCACCATTTCCGCTCGCCCGCGGAGGCGTGGCCGCGGGCGGGCTCGTGGCGCCTCTCAAGGTGCGCGACGTCTCGTGAGCAGGAGAAGAAGACCGGGACTCACGAGAGGAGACGAAGACGGCCGTGAATGAGAAAGTGATCTAGACGCTGCAGGATCGAAGTTACACGAAACATACGCCATTGTAGAGCCGCTGCCGGAGCACACCAATTTTTTGAACAGAAACCATTTTTTAGATGAAGCTGGTTCCGAAGTTGATGTGGTCGTCGTCCACGGCGTCGACCCCCTTCAGGCTGCCGTGGAAGTGGCACAGGCCGGGGACGCCCCCGTTCTGTCGCGCACCAAGCGTCGTCCGGCTTCGGAACCAGGACCAGGTCCCGCTGCCTATCAGCGGGAAGCTATCTCTCACCGAGCAGCACTGGATAGCATCGAGTCGACTGCTGGTGGACATGACGTTTAAGGCTGATCCCAGGAGGTCGTCCGGGGCCGGCGTTCAAGGTGCGCGACGTCGCTCCAAGTCTAGAAACAGTCGGCAGTCCGAGACGCCCAGGGGCTCGTGCCGTCAGCCCCACACCCACCGAAGAAGGTACCAAGCCAGAAGTTCACGCTCACTCCTGGACCGTGTCGCGCGGTTCAACCCGCTTCGGTTCCGGCTCGTCTCGTTCGTCGTCTAGCAACACGCGGAGGGCCATCCCATCATCGCGAAGGAATCGCCCAACCTCCAACACCGGTAGCTCCTCCGGACGCGCGGTGAGCCTGCGGCAGCGTCTGCAGCAGGCTCAGCTAGCAGGAGGGTAGCGGGTCATCCCGTTCACCCACCAAGAACTCCGCCAACGGTCAGCCCTCACGAGGCACGTCCTCCCGTGGCTCGTCCTCGACCGCTCGTAGACCCTCTCGTCCGTCATCCTCCCGTGATCGCAACGTCGACTCGTCTGGCAGCCGCACCCGTAACAGAGGCCGCCGCCCGGCGTTCGGTTCCGGGCGAGATCCAAACCGCGAGCCGCCCGACCCGCTACCCGAGATCCGACCGACTCCGGTCCTCGAGGACGGCCAGATCATCGTTCCTCTCGAACCAGCAGGTCCAGGCCTCCATTCCTGTGATCGCAAATGGACGCACAACGTTCAAGGACATCTTCACGGCGCGCACAGTGACTAAGACGCTCGGAGGCTGGCCAGTACACTGTGACGGAGGTGGATGGAGCAGTACGCACGCATCTTGGGCTTTCAACAACGGTCGGCGACGGCGGCCGCACGGCCGTCGCAACGCTCTATATTCGACCGACTGATATCAAAACGGGACTGTTCACGCCAACCCGAGTTCGAGGAAGGGTGACGTCTGCCATCTCGTCGTACATTCAGCTGGCTACACTGTCGTGCCGGAGTGAACACCGCGAGCCCGCAGTTGCAGCCGCAGCCGACAGTACAGAACAGTGCGCTGACGGCGCTGCTGCAGCAGCTGCTGAGCGGGCAGCAGGCCAACCCACTGTTGTCCGGTTCGTTCGCCGCGCCGGCCGCGAGCCCGCAGCAAGCTTACCGCACGCTGAGCTTCACCACCACGTACGTGACCACCGTGACGCAGTCGGACGTCACCACCGTGCCCATCTTCTTCAATGGCCGAAAAAACGAACACGGTCATCATCAACTCAGACGTGCAGGTGATCACAGCCACGGAGGTCGTCACCTCGTCGACACCGATCCCGGGTCAGACAGTGGCTCCCAGCGCTCGGCCTCGGTGCCCTGGGCCTCGGGGGCTCGGTCCTGACTCCGCAGCAGCTGTTGCTGCGCCAGCTGTTGAGCCAGCGGCCGCAGCCGCAGGCGCAGCTGCCAGTGATCCAGGCGACGCGCGAACCGACGCTCAAACATCGCTCCGAGTCAGCCGCCGCAGCTGGAGGAGCTGCTGCGGCAGGCGACCGAGGTGTCGCAGCAAGAGGCGCAGCGCGGCCCCAGCCCACCGCTGCCGCAGGTGGCATCCACCTCTGTGGTCACCATCTACGTCAGCGGCTCGCGACCTGGCGAGTTCTTCACGCGTCTATCAACAGTGACCCTGGACGGGCCCGAGGCGACCCGCATCAAGCGTGGCCAACTGCCCACGGCTGCCGTGCGAGCCACCGAGATTCCCGGCCTTCATCGAGACCGACCAGGGCCTCTTCAAAGTGCCCAAGGACCCGCAGATCTTTGGAGACCTCGACTTCTACGTCATGTCGGCCATGAATGAAATAGACCCAGACATGATCCAGTTAGGCGCCACGCAGACGCTGGAGAGCGTCAAGGGAAAGGCCACCAGATATCGCGAAAAAGTCATCGATGTGGTACCATCACTAACGGACCGCCCCTCCCTTAAGACCGATTCTTTTTTATGGGAGGGCCCCGCTGAGTCTGCCCCACTCAGACGGGAGAAACGCCAAGCCACCAGGGGTCGCGCTAGATTTAACGGTAATGACCTAAGCTTTGCTCAACGGAATACTAATCAGGAAGCAGAAGAAATCAATGAACCAGCTTATACAACTTTTACCTATGCTAACACTGTTACTGACGAGTTTGGTAACATTATAATATCCAGCACAGAGCATGTGCTACCCAAGCTAACCACGCATAAAAACATCGAGCTTATAGAGCTCACCAAGCTGAGCGGAAGGCCAACAGCCTCCAACAGCCTGCTCTTCGGCATTCTCGCAACCGAAGCAGATGCAATCACGAGAACCATTGCTGCACGTGGTTCTGAACTAACCGCCGCTAGAAGAACCCTGAACAATGGACGGTCATTGGGAGACGTTCAAACGGTGCAAGACGTGAATTCCGCCCGGCGTCGAAGACCGCAGGCCAGTAGCGAGCCCCGAGGGGATTTTGTCCCCTCACAGCGTGATGGCGGCTCCGTCGCCCGCGGCCCATCTCAGGCGTTGGTGAACAGGAACAGAAATCCACTTTTGGATCCTCAAGAGGAAGATGAGCCTTTTTCTGATGCCCTCCTTCGCTCGTCAATCTCTGAAGATCAGTTACAACTGGCTACAGAAAGATCCACGACGACGCTGCCTCTTCCTGGTGAGGACAAAGGCAACGAAGCTGCAGCTCGTGCAGAAACGGTACCGCCTAATGACCAGTCGACTAATGAGGCACTGAATGAAACTGCTGATAGGGCCATTTTATCGAACGTACGTCAAAGGGTTCGAATACGAGGTCAAGACAGGTCTGGGACAAGGACACAGGCCTTCACACCTGCGGACTCGACGAACGAAAGCGATAATGATAAAAATGCGGTTGATAGCACACTTCAGCCGCGAGCTCGACGGCGCCGCGTTCGAGTGCGTACGCGCCAACGGGTTGAGACATCTGCGGATGATGTTGCGGGATCACCATCAGATGACAGCGCTGAAAACGGTGGCGTAGGGAGACAGCAGGAACGCTGGCGAACCCGGCAAATGTTTCGCAATCACAACGTGGACGAACGCGTGTGCGTGGTCGCCAAAGGGCCAGCACAGCGCAGCCGGTTACTTTGCGAACCAACCGCCGTCGTAATCAGACCACGCGGTCTCGTGACGGCAGCCGGGCAAACCTCGGTGCTAGTCAAAGCTCGGTCCTCCCGTCGCAGAGGTAGGGGACGCGCTCGGTCCCGAACAACACCATCGCCGGTTCCGGGAGGAGATTCCGAGAACGCAAGTGTCGAGACGACGCGAAGAGGAGATGTAAATGAACCACAGGAAAAATCAAAAAGCAATCCGGAATATGATAGGACCACGGAACTAGGTGCTGCTGGCGTAGAAAAGCGATTCCAAAACAGCTGTACCTCTTACGCCAGAAGATATTTCTACAACTCAGCTGTTGTCAGATGATAGTGATGAGGAAGATGACAGGGGTCTACAGCAAACAACCCTGCTGCTGACAGCCCAGCCATCTGCTGGAGCTCGGCGTGGGCGGCCAAAATCCCAGCCTCGTGACCAGCAAGATGAAGTGCGAACCAGAATTCAGCTGGCTAAAACCTCCGGTGATCAGCAGGAGGTCGCTGGTGCGGGACGATGATGTGCAACCTGTGCCAATCTCGTTCTGCGGGAGCAGCTGGTTAGACGAGTCGTTGTTCGGAAAAGACGCCCATTCCAAATCTAATGCGACACACACTGGAACTGATCCAAGGCGCCCGATCAAAGCCAGCGCAACTGCATCGGTTTCGACTGAGCGCTCAACAACCATCCGCCCTTCACCTTCTAGACAAGCCGAAGAAGATCCCAATAGAACCTTACCAACGTCAGCAACAGCGGCTTCTACAGATGGAGTTGAGCCTAGTTATGCCGAAAATTTACTGGACGACGAACCCGAAGATGTCGATATATCTGCCAATAAGAAAGTTAAAAAAGATGCAACTGCATCTTCGCGGGAGACGGGAACAAGAGGGCGCAGAGTACGCGTCCGCACCCGCGTGGTTGGCAACATTGCTGCATCAAAGAAGACTGACCTTACAGAGAATGAAGCTACGCCAAAAGAAACAGATGAGAGCCACGAAAACAAAAATGAAACAGCAGCGTCTTCGAATGTATCCACACCGGTCTCTACTTTAGGCAACAGAAGGAGAGGTTTCTCTCGCGCACAATCCGAAAGCTCAACACAGACTAGTTCAAACGCAGCTCGCTCCCAAACATCAGCGAGCCTAAGGAAGTCCTCTGATTTACGCGATGGCAGTGATGCCACCATCTCAGAACTCCCTGAGCCAGTAGCTGAACGTGTCACAACAGGACGTCGTCGAGTTCGGGTTCGCACTCGCGTTCTGGCACAGCAATCATCTACCACCACCTCCACGAGGCCCGACTCTGCTGACACCACTGACGAAGCAGGGCTGAAGGAGCTTGATGATGCTGAAGAGGAGTCAGACATCAAACCAACGCCACGCCCGGCTGCACGATCGTTCAGCCCCCCAAGGGCCTCCGTTCGCAACCGATCTCGTTCTCGTACCTCTGTTGCAAGCACTGTTATCGACGCCACCACAGATTCTTCCAGTGCAGAACGGCCCGATGAGGAGGGCCAGAACGCTGTTCCTGGTCCCAGAACTGTAAAACCCACGGCTCGTGGCACATCCAGAAGACGCCCTGAACGGCGTCGCACGACACTGTCAGGACGAAGAAGAGGCTCCGGAAGCAGACAGAGGCCCTGCCCAAGCAGAGGTTTCCAATGCGAATGAAATTGACTCCGAAGTCGACCGAAATCAGTCCCAAGTGTCGCGGACACGGTCTAGAGTGTCTTCATCTCGGATAGGTTCCAGGAGGCGTGGCGGTCGCGCTAGAACTAGAGCACCGACAACATCCACCGCGCCCACAACTGAAGGAAGCCGAGTCCCTCCAGGGAGCTCTGAGACAGACTCTACTAAAGCTGCGGAAGTTCCGACAGCGAGGAAATTCAGGATAATGGAGAGGAGCGTCTAGGATTTAGCAATGATATCACAGGTGTCAGTAGTGTCGGCAGCGAGCTTCCGCAAGACAACCTCGCCGAAGAGGGGCCGGCCATACGGAAAGTGAAGAAGATCAGGAGAATCGTCACCGACCCCGCGTCGGATGTGCCGCCACAGGTTTCAGGCGCCGCAGTGACATCTGGATCAAATAGGTCCTCTCCATCTTTGGACCGCAGCAAAAAGGAAGAAGATATCAATGCAAGCACATCCCCTGTGGACAGAAGCACTCAACGATTGAAAAGAAGACGCAAGATAGTTAGAACGGTCTTGGTGCCGGGTGAAGACAGGCCAACTAGTGTCGTTGGTGATCTAGAAAACACCTCGACTCAGACCTCAGCGCGAGCGACGGCAAGGGTGATACAATCAAGCACGGTGGTGCGTCCAGCCACCTCTACTGTCGCCGACATCGCGTCACAGCGTGATGATGACGCCGCCGTTGATGGCGGCAGAGGCAGACTTCCCGCTAATGTCACGCGGAGACAGCGAGTAAGGGTGACGCGAACGCGGACTAGACTGCGCCCCACGGCTTCCCTTGGGACTTTGCCGACCGTAGCCACCTCGGAGCAGCGTCTTCCGAGTCCAGGCGCAGCAGCAGCCTCTCCATCTCGGGAGGGCACCCGGCTGCGAGTGAGCCCCGGGAGACCGAGGCCGGCCGGCAGGTCACGCCAGGTGGTCACGAGGACCAGGATTCTATCCCAGCAACGGGACGATCAAGCTGAGATTGCTGACTCCACCGAGAGAGAACAAGCGACAACGGAGGACGCGTTGAGTGTTCTTGTGAACGGGGATGAGAGAGACAACAATAGAGTCGAATCATCTGTCGCGGACGAACAGGAGATCGGAGTCCCAGGTCGGGTGCAGAGAAAACGAATCCGAAAGCTAAAACGAAAGAAAATCGTACGGGTGAAGGAAGAACCACTTAAAGTTTCTGAGACTTCTGGTTTGGAAGAATCGACAGATCGTCCTTCTCGTCGTGGGGGTCGTCGTCGCGTTGTCAACCTCAGACGAAGGCTGCCTGCCACCACTACCAGCTCTCCACGCAGTGGAATAGAGGGGGATGGGTCAGCTTCTACTGACGAGGAGGCATCTGAACGATTGGTAACAACAACGCCCTCTCCCAGAAGAACCGCTCTTAGTTTGCTTCCTAGGAGGACGACTGAAGCGCCAGCATCTTCTCCTCCAACCTCTGATGCGGAAGATGACGCTTGCAGATGCTGTGGCCGAAGGTGAAAGTCAGATCTCTGCCCCAGAAAGGGCTAGAGGCAGACTAAGAGCCACTGGCTTTAACGACCGCCGTCGGCCCATCCAAAGACCTACACAATCTGGTGTCTCTAGCCTGGTACAAGCCTCGACAGGGCGTGGATCGGCTGACAGGCGGAGTCGGTTCCGCCGTCCGGGACGTCCTAGGCAAGACCTTGTCCGGCCAGAAGATGACACCACCGTCACTGATGCCACTGCTAGTAGTTAACGACTCCGACGAATCTGACGCCAAGCAGGAGACCACTACGACTATCTCCTCGGAGCAGACCAGACCCGGGCTCCGCTTCAGTGCACCCAGACCCTCCAGACCAGGCTCACGACCTACTCGGCCTCCACCTACACGTCGGCGAAGGCCGCCCTCAGCGTCCTCCCGCGGTTAGCATCGACGATGTGGGCCGGGCCGATAGCGACAAGAGCGCCGATGACGAGTCCGAAGTGTCAGACGCTGCTCCGGTACGTTTCCGAACTCGGCCGATCTTCTCGAGCGGTCGTCCGAGAGGCCGGCCCGCCCACCACAGCTCCTCCTCAGACCACGACCGGCCGGGGCAGTCTCGCCAACAGATTCTCGGCCGGTCGGAGAGGCAGACCTGTGGTGCCCTCTCGTTCGCGGTTGGGTGCAGGCCGGCAGCCGCCCCGCGCCGGCTCTCGGCCGCTGGGGACAAGCCGGCCTCAGAACGCCCCCTCCGCGGAAAGCAGCGGGCGTGGTGGCTCTCGGGCGCTGGGGACAAGGCGGCCCCAGAACGCCCCCTCCGCGCAGGGCAGCGGGCGTCCTGACAGACCATCAGGGGACGAAGACAATGGGGAAAAGCTGGAAGAAGCCAAGTCATTCACAACCATCACAACACGGGCGCCTGCTACGACAGCACGGCCTCCGTCAAGGCGCATTCCGTTCTTCCCTGGACTGGCTCGTGAGCGAGATAGAAGCAGGACTCGGCGACCATCCGTCAGCCAAATCAGCACACCAGGCACCACGGCCAGAACAGAGCCGTCGACAGAAAGATCAAGTGCGGCAGACATCGATGACGAGTACCCGATTGATGATACTGAGGGGACTGCCGATGACGACGTCCTTGATTTCGAGTCGGACGACATTGCTCCGTCCAGCGCCGCAGAGAATTCCCCCAACGACGTGCTCCCAAGCAACGTGGTGTACCGGAAATTCAGCACGTTCTCGCTTGTGGAGATCCTCGGCGGTCGCCAAACTCTGACGCTGCCTGTATTGACTTCAACGCTGACGAACGCTGGCGCCCTCAGACCTCCACCTGATCACCGACGCGCCGTGGCTGTTCGACGAGAGCGCGACATCTTCACGCACTCCGGCGGCGCGGCCGGCGCCCCCGGTCATCCGACTGACCTCCACGCGGCAGAGTCTGGCCAGTGCCGCTCCGACTCGCCCCGGCGCACCCCCGAGTGGTCTGCAAACCGCCGATCGTGCCACACCCACGCTCCGACCCGTCCTCAGCACCGCACCCCGGAGCGGACCGACGTCGTCCAGAGGCGCAGCGATATCCACCGCAGCCGGAAGGCCGACGTCGGACGCCGTCACGACGACCAGGGACCAGAGACTGCTGTTCTCATCACGGCCTTCAGTCATCAGACGCCCAGTTGTGTCGGTTTCGAGTGATTTGTTGGAAGCGTCACGCGAAAAAGCGGTTTCAAATGGCGCAACGTCAGTTCCCAGAAGTGGTGTGTTGAGATTCTCAGAGGAGGTGGAAGATCGCGAAGATGATGTGGGTCGTGTAACTAGGCCTCCCGTTGGCCTTTTCGACCGGGAGAGTGAGGATGAAGAGAGCGCAACAACCACGGTACCACCTCATTCACCTATTGTAGACACTCGCAATCATGAAACGTTGGGTGACGCAGACAACGAATCGGTAGACGGTCTAGACCTGATCAAAGATTTCCCGGCCACATCCTCGGTCCGCACAAGGCATTCTCTCGCCTCCTCGTCTGTTAGGTCCTCCCGCCTTCGACCCCTGCCCTCGCCGACCCGATCGCCGGTCACACCACTGACCAGTTCGGGAACGGTGGTGATCTTCGCAGAGCTCGTCACCAGCCCAGGTGAGATTGCATGATGCTGGTCTTCTGTGCACACATGCTCTGAATATCTGAACACGTTGCCTTCACTTGCGTTTCCCTCGCTGTGTGCGTTGCTTTTCTATTTTGCACTGCCTGGCAATGCTGGAAGGCACATAATCTTTCGGTTGATTGATGTGATGTTTATGTCTGTGGTTTATAATTCAGATCAGCTGCTCTTAGATCATGGGTGTTATTGAAACAATGTTTGCGTCATTTGTGAAATTGTCCTACAATTTGATTTTTGCATGTGGTGCAATTTCAGGCAAATTGTCATGTCATACCATTTCAAGCGGAATGCCATGTTGTGATACCAGCTCAGGCAGATTGCCATGCATAAATTCTGGCTGAAAAAAACATCTGTCAAAATGCGATCAAAAAGGTTAAATTAAATACAAAATTGAGACACCATTTTTAGCACGTTTATTCAAACGAGATGGAAATTTTCGACCCATGTAGAGCGACTTGTACCACTGTTTCCGTGATTTCAGTGATAAATCAGCGGGGACCTATCAGCATCTCCAGCCGACCCGGTGAGTATTTCTGCCACCCCGCTCGTGCTGCGGTTTCTCCCTCCTCGGGCCTGATCAGAGCGATCTCCATATATTCAGGCCCTGACGTGTAATCGCCAGTGAGAGGGACGCGATGCCTTGCGTCAGGATGGCTCCGGGTGAAAATATATTCAGCGGCGATTTCTCCTCGGCCAGCGCCGCGAGTCCGGCTAATTAAGCATGGCCCGGCGACTGGAGAGTGCCGTGTGGGAGGATGCCGCACGTCTATCAGTATTCAGCGGAGGCGCCGCCGCCCGCCCTGCGCGCGGGCCGAGTGGACGCCGACTGATTCGGCACGATGTAGAAACCGTCGAGAGCGCTCGTGCCGCGCGGCCGGCAGCGCGGCTCCGTTGTCCGCTGAGGGGCGCGGCCCGGGTCTCGCTCGACCTGTGACCGAGATGCTTGCGTCTTCCATCACCCGACTGCCACATCATGGCTGTGACAGATACACGCGGCACGTGGGAGGTTGGAAGCGTTCCACTTCACGAGAAAATCGCGTCGAATTAACTGCTCCAGATATCTGGCTGACAGAAGCCGCACAGTCGGCTACGCCGTTCCGTTTGCGGTGCTGATGCCCGCGCGCTGTCAAAATCCCCCGATGTGATTTTCACACCGCCTGTTTGCTGACCTGACACCCTCCGAGGATGGCACAGGATGACTGGCGTCTGACCCGTGACCTCGTTCCAGCTGTCAGTCGAGATGTAGCGCCTGAGGACGCAGGCCAGGTTCTGACCACTCCAGGCTCCGTGGTTGTCCCGGGCATTGCCACCAAACTCATGGAGAATGGCGTCCCGGTGCTCGTGGCACGTGAGAGCTTCCGCACCGGTTTAAGAGACGCACAGCTAAACTTCTGCTCTCCCCCCCCCCCTATATACTGCACTGCGATGGATTACCTCCACGTCCCCCCCCCCCTCTCTCTCTCATCTGCCCGCGTGCCACAGGCCGACACTCGCATTGTAGCATTGTAGCATTCATTGGCTATCGCATGTAAGCATTCCCCCATTGGACGTTCCACCATGGTTTTGGAAGTATATCTGCAAAACTCACAGGCTTCATCAAAATGTGTTGGAAACGGACGGTATTTGAAGTAATGGAGTTACCTGCGGTGCTTTCTAGATTTAAGTCGTTAGTAGAGCAAAGTTAGAGCCCTATATTATTGTGACACTAGATGCACCATAAATGGCGTGGTTGTTGAGTGAATATCCTATCAATATTACTGCGTAATAATTTATGCATGTTGATTGTGTAATAAGTATTTATTAGTCGATGCTTTTCCGTTAAGGCTCTTTGATTTGTCATGCAAATTCATTGTTAGCGTGCATATTGAATTCTAGCGCTCGTCTTGCTTACTTTGCCCTGTTTCAAAAATTTGCATTTGTTCATATTCACTATGAGGAAATGACAGTGAATCCTCGAGCTCGATTCTCGGTATCTCCCCATCCCCTCCCCACCCGTTCACCGCCGAGTTCTGGCCAAACACCGAAGGCGGTCCTTGGCTAGTCCTTGTTGGAAATGTGCATCATCCGCGGATGTGGGTCTGGCGACCGACAACATTTGATTACATGCATGCAACCCTCTGGCAACATGCATTGTCTAGGCCAATATACATCTCTCAGCGCTTTCTTACCACACACGGGTCATGCTTTTTCGAGCCACCTACCCCGATCCAACTGCAGCAGAGTCCGGGTCAGGCCTCTAACCGAGTCTCCCGCCGCCGCAGAGGGGAAGCTGCCGCCCGAGCAGGTGGTCAGCAACGGCCAGGTGGTGCTGAACTCGGGCACGCTGACGCTGCCTCCCGTGTCGCTGAGTGACGTCATGTCCCTGTCTCCGAGCTCCGAGACCGACCCGGAGGTGAGAGGCTGCCGCCCACGGGCGCTGCCGCCGCTGCCAGCGGACACGCCGTTCAAGGGTGCGTCCTCGCGGTGTGGCTACTCAGATGCGGTGAGATTCGTTGGACAGGGCTGTCCCCGCGACGGCCACTAACACGACTGGCGATTTAGCGCGGTTGAGTGGAGGCAACGCGTGGGTACGCACAGCTGGTGAGAAGACAAGTCGGCAAAACACTTTACAATGGATGGCCGTGAAACACGGTGTAAGATATAACGAAACCGACTTACCGAACAGACTGAAACGGAGTCATAAACGTAAGGAAAGCTTGCATAAGCGCTAGCGACACGTGGAGGCTGGCGACCGTCGCGCCCTGACCTCGCTCACACGTCAACTCGGGCACTGTCACCGGTCAACATCGCCACCACTTCTGGACGGCCCGCCGGCAAAGCTGGACTGTGCGAGCCGTGATCAAAAGCCGATAGGTTGGGTCGGGCCGCGCCGACCAAGTGTTGTCAAATGACCGGCGGCGGGTATCATCCACGGGCCGCCGCCCGGTGGCCCAATGTGCCAATGGTTAGAGGCAGATATGACTCCCTGCGGGGAGCACAGGCAGCCAGAGCAGTGGATCGCACAAACGTATCTCAAAACAAGTTGTAACGCGGAACATAATTTTGCTTCTGATATATCTTGTGCTCATGACCGCAATTAGGTGAGTCAATTAACCTTGCTCAAGTTGCGTGCTTCCAACCCTTCCTGCCCACATGTTCGGAATAAAACATTTGTCGGCGTGAAACAAACACGGAAACCACCTGACCCAGTTCATGGCTTACTTGGCTATCCAGTTCGCTGCAGTAAAGCTTCTTAGTGTGGTCCGGCTTATTAACCCAACCGCTGCCTCACGCTAATCCCGACCCAACTAAACGGCATGACACCGTGCAGTCGCGCGCTAACTGACCGTCGATAACGCACTAACCGCTGGGTCGCGGGGTGAGCCGCCTCCGCGCCCTGACCCGGCTGCGGCCTGTTCTAGCTACGGCCGGCCGGCGGCGCGGCCGCCCTCCTAACAAAGACCTACCTAACCACGGTGACGCTGCTGTCGAGCCGGTGGGCCGGCGCTGGCTCGCTCGTGACCGACACCCGCCGCCGCACCGAGGCTCTGGTGGTGACCGAGCTGCCGGCGGCCGCCCGGTTCGCGGCCGCGCCCCAGGTAAGGGCCGCGCACGGCGCCGGCTCCGGCTCCGGTTCCGGCTACGGCTCCGGCTCCGGCTCCGGCGCCGGCTCCGGCCCGGGCGCGACCCCGATGCACGAGGTGTGGAGGGTGGGGCGACGAGGCCAGCTCGGCTCGGCGCGGCCAGCATGCGAAAGCGCCCGCCGGGCGCTGATTTACATATGAGCTCTCGCCGGCCGACGTCGGTGAAAACGATTGGTTTGCCGCGCCGGGCCGGAGCTGGTAGACGTCACAGGGTGCGATGATGGAGTTCCAGTGAGCTGGACGATGCTGGTGCAGCGAATGACTACGGTGAGGCTTCGACATGAGGGTCCCGCAGAGGTGGCGGAAGGTCGACACTGCCGCACGCTGGTGGTGGGTCGGTACTGCAGAGCCCTGGTAGAGGGTCGGCATTGCACGGGGCGAATGCCAAACCGGCGCTGACCCGGCGCCGTTCCGAGTGGTCGCTGTGCAGCGGCGGTCTGGCCTCCTGCGCGGGCCCCCTGCAGCCAGTTGACACCATTTCAGGCGCAGTCTGCTCTGCCTGGGAACTGGCCTGGACTCGGCTCACGACATTCACACAGCGCTCGGGCGAGGATACACAACACACACACACACACACACACACATACACACACACACATACACACACACACACACACACACACACACACACACACACACACACACACACACACACACACACACACACACACACACACACACACACACACACACACACACACACACAACACGCACACCACACGCTAGCTGCGACATATTACATGCCAGCAAGTGGTCACGGACCATGCACCTAGGAGAAACGTATCCTTATGATCACACATAAAACCCAGTGCCTTCATCATATGAAGGCGAATACAAGCCCGGTGCTCTGCTGCGTCAATCGATGCCGCGGACCGTTTTTACGTGGAGGATCTCGAATGGATATCATATATTGCCGTCTGATAGTGAGATATCGCAAGTTACGATTTCTCAAGGCTCCCAGGCCGGCTTGTGCTGCGAGTTACAATGGCTGGTTTGAATCTGCCACACAGTATTTCCTGATGCTACCTTGTCTGTCTCACACAAGGTACTGCAGAACCCTGGTCAAGGTACTGCAGAAACTACCCCCCCCCCCCCCCCCCAATAACTGACCAGGGTATGACCAGTCTAACCCAACGACCAACAGCTTTACTTCCCCCACTCCACGGATATGACCCTGCGCGCCGTTGTGAGTGTCCCAGCCGGCCGGCTCAGTCATGACACGTGCCCGCGTTTCGGTCGTTGACCGCCGCCGTCCGCTGGTTGCACCAGCCATCCACTGACCGAGCCGGCCCATATGGGGGGGGGGGGGGGGAGGGAGGGCAAGGAGGCCGTGCTGGTTTGACCACACGGCTTCAGGAAGTGGCGACGGACCTGCCATCCGCTGGTCAGGTCGGCCCATGTGGATGTGGGGGGGGGGGGGGGAGGGGAGGAGGCCGTGCTGGTTTGACCGCGCGGTCCCGGGAGGCGGCGACGGACCAGCCATTCGCTGACCAGGCCGGCCACATGTATATGTGGGTGGATGGGGAGGCCGAGCTGGTATGACCACGCGGCTCCCGGAAGTGACGGCGGACCAGCTTTCTGCCAGCCCGGCGGCGGGAACCGGTCCCGCTCGCCGTTGCACGCCGCCGGTATTTGACCTACTGCCCGGACCGGGACGACTTTTGCTCGGCGGTGCGTGAGACCAGGATCATCTGGCGGGTGGCCTATACCGAGAAAAATCTATATATTTATGGCGTTTGTGCGAGACGGCACTCGGTCGTCCGGCAGCGGGCAAGCGGGCTAGCATTCAGCCGTCCGGCAGCGGGTCAGCGGGTTGGCATTCGGTCGTCCGGCAGCGGGCAAGCGGGATTCGGTCGTCCGGCAGCGGGTCAGCGGGTTAGCATTCGGTCGTCGGGCAGCGGGCAAGCGGGTTGCGAACAGGCTTCGGGGTCAGAGCTCTTTTCTGTGTCGGAGACATTATGCACTATACTGAATATGTGCTAAAAGTGCACTTCTGTTATATGCTGTGCGCAACAAAATGTGCTAGGGACTGATGGCTTGCGTGGGCTTGGAGCAGTCTACTATTTCAATCTGGCAACCCCCATTTAAGGGTTCTTTTTCGTGCACCCATCTCGTTTTGTAATTGACCGCCGAGTCGATCCTTTTCGTTGGGCACATGCCGTGATTATGGGAGGCGTGCATCATTATCTCCAGTGCAGAGGTGTCCTTCAGGGCACAGAACGGTGGCTTCCACCACACTGCATGGGATGAGCGCGTGCTGCATTGTCATGCCTGCACCGGCGCACAAGGTCGACAGCTCATTACTTGGGGTACAGGTGACACCGGTTCATGCAGTGGAGTTTGGTCCGCCATTGGCTATTGCTCCATCATAAATGGGTATTTTCTAAAAAATATTTTAATTGCATCGCCGGATTTTCTAACTCCTTAATAGAGTAGCACGCAACGTCCTTGGCGTCATGTTCATTATCCCGAGACTGGGCGGCGCCATCTGCACACAAGCTGAACTATCAAGCAGCCATACCGCAACTGAGCCGTACAACCTGTACTAGCGGAGCGTGGCCTGTCTGTTTCAGCTGGGCACGCGCGGCACCGAGGGCTTCGACTCGCGCTTCTACCGCACGCACACCTACTTCACCACCTTCACCTTCCTGAACCACTTCAAGGAGGGCGACCGATCGGTGGTGTTGACATCGCGTGAGACGGTGTCCAACGTGCTGACGTTGCCGGCCGCCGTTACCACGCCCTCCTCGACGCGCTTCCAAACAGAGACGTATCTCAGCACCTACACGTACTTCAGGACGACGACGCGCGGCAACCGCGAGCATGTGACCTCCACGCAGGAGGTCGTGACCCAAATCGTGGTGACGGAGGCCCCGGCCGCGCCGCCGCTCGTGGCGCCCACCTCCCGCTCGCTGCTCTACACCAAGACGTACCTGTCGACAGTGACGCTCTTCGACACGGCCGTCGTGTCGGGCACGCAGGTGCTGGTCAGCACCACCAGCGTCATTCGCGACGTGGCCGTCGAGACGTCCTACATAGCGGCCGTGCGACCGACAGCAACCAGGCCCGTCATCCAGGCGACGGTGGCGCCGGCTCCGCGGCCCGTCGCCCGGCCGCCGCCAGTCGTCGACCCCAGCTTGCTGCCGGTCGGCGAGCAGGACGAGATCCACGTGGTGGCCACCAAAACGTTCTACACGACCAGCACTTTCTACACCACGCTGCTGGAGGGCAGCTCGACCGTGGTGCGCACGCGCACAGAGGTCACCTCCCGCCTGCAGACCGAGAAAGTGACGACGCGACTTGACTCGTGGCACCTGAGCTCGCTGCGCAGCTCGTTCGTCGGGCCGGCGGCGACGTCCACCACCGCATCGTCGCTGCTAACGCCGCTGGTGACGGCAAACTCGGTGGCGGCGCCCGTTGAGTCGCAGCCGACACCCAGTCGAAGCGGGACGCCGCCACAGCCCTCTCTGGTGGCGGCCAGCCCGGTGCCCGCGCCGCCGCTGGGCGGCGAGGACAGCGACCAGACGTCAACGACGCAGGAGGAGCCCAGTCAGAGCGTGGAGACCACGCCGTCGCCGGCGACACCGACAACCCCCTCCGAGACTCCGTCACCGCCCGAGAGCGCCGCGCAGTCGGTAACCGCGTCCTCGGAGCCGGCCGGCGACGCGGCGACGACGGCGGCCGCTGAGCCGCAGCCGGCGGCCGCCGACACGCCGACCGGCGCCGCATCGCTGGTGTCGACCACCACGTCAGTGAGCCCCGCCACGCCCAGCACGACGACCGCGGCGCCCTCAGGCGGCCTCGACTCGTCCGAGTCGACGGCCGCCAGCCTAGGCAACCTGGCCGGCAGCCTGCTGGGCCTGAGCGGGCTGGGCGCAGCCGGTCTGGGCGGCCTCAGCTCCATGGTGGACACGGCTGCTGGCCTCTTCCGCAACGTGCTGCCGGTGGCTGTGCGGCGCGACGGCTCTTCCGGCGTGCCGCCCGATTCGCGCCCGCCGCCGGCCGTGCACGTGCAGCAGCGCAACCCGGCCTTCATCCCGGTCGGTGGCGTGGCGGCGAGCCTACGGAACCAGCAGCTGGCGACGGCCGCGCCCGGTGGTGGCTTCTTGGCCGTCATGGGGCCCGAGGGCGAGATGATCCGGCTGCGCGGCGCGCCCAACGGCGGCGCGCCGCAGCGGCCGCCGCCGGGCCTGCAGGAGAGCCTGCCGCCGCCGCAGCGCTCGGGCGTGCCCGTGCGGCGCGCCGACCGACCGCGCCGGCCGGCCGGGCAGCCGCTGCGAGGCGACGGCGCGCCGCTGTTCCGCGGCGACGCGCCACGCCGGCCGCCGCGGCCGGTGCGACCCAACCGACGGCAGCAGCACGTGGCGAGGCCCAACGGTTTCATCGCCGTGTTTCCGGGTCAGCGCGAGCCGCCGCCCCGCCGACCGCCGCCGGCTGACGGCTTCGTGCAGCTGCAGCGCATCGAGAACCAGCCGGGCCAGCCGTTCCAGATCCGCGTGCGACCGGCGGCCGGGCAGCCGGGCGGCCGGCGCCCGCCGCCGCCGGGCCTGGCGCCACCGCGGCCCGACATCGAGCGCTTCAGGCCAGGCGACGCCGAGCGCAGGCCATTCCCAAGCGGCGGCGTGCTCGCCGAGCTCGGTCGGCCGGCCGGCGCGCCGTCAACACGCGTGCACGTCTCCATCACGAGCGGCGCAGAGACGCAGTTTGTGCGGCCGAGCGCGGCCAGCCCACAGGACCGGCTGACGGCCGTGCCGCCGCGCCGGCCCGTTGTCGTGGTCGGCGCGACGTCGCTGCCCGGCTTCGCTGGCCAGGAATTCCTGGAGACGCGGCGAGCAGACGCCCCGCCGGTGCGGCCAGCAGGGCGGCCACCCGCCTACGTGGAGGCCGAGTTCGCCGACCAACAGACCGTCGACGACCAGGATTACGCCGCCAGCGTTCAGGGTCCGTTCGGCACTGGACAGCTGACGTACTTCGACAGCGCCGACGCCGGGTTCGTGCCCGACCAGGGCTTGCGTCCGCCCCTGGCGTCGCCGAGCGCGGAGACCGCACAGGACGCCGAGAACGCACTGACAGGTCAGGTGTTCTGGTCACAGCGGCCCGTGTCGACATCCACGCTGCACACGATCGCCTCGCTGGAGGGCGACAACCGGATTGTAGGCACCAACGTGTTCGCCAACGTGGTGCCTATCACCACTCAGCCAGCGGTCATCAGCTTCCCGCCCAACACCGACCGGCCGCGACCGCCGCCGCGCGCGCCGCTGCTGCCGTTCGCCCCGTCCGCTGCCGCCCCGCCGCTGACGACAAGACCCAGTCCACCGGCATCGTCCGAGTCACCGCCGCCACCACCGGCTCGGGCGTCGGCGCCTGGCTTGACGTACCAGCCGACGGAGGAGGCGCCGCCCTCGGAGTCGCCCAGCATCCCGGTGGTAGACCTGGAGCTGGAGCCTTCGACGGAGCGAGTCCGGGTGGCACAGCGAGGGGACCTGACGTCTGGCAGCATCTCCGGCGACGACGAGAACGACAAGATCAACTTCATCGTGTCGTCGAGCTTCGAGCCGGTGGCGGCGACTTCATCGCGCGCCACGCCGCGCACGCCGTCACTGACGTCGAGCCGGCGGCCGACGCGGCTTGCCGACCGCATCCGCCAGACGCTGCTGGCGTCGCTGAGCAGCGCCGCCGCTGCCGCCGCTGCCTCCTCCTCCTCCTCCTCCTCCTCTTCACCTTCTTCCTCCTCCTCCTCCGCCGCAGCCGCCGACGCCGCCGCCGCCGCCGTCGCCGCCGCCTCCTCCACCTCCGCCTCCGCCGCCGCCGTCGCTTCCGCCGCCGCCGCCGCCGCCGCCGCGTCCGCCGCCGCCACCACGCCGAGCGTGCGCGTCGGCTCGGCGACGTCGATCCTCGGGCCGGACGTGCGCACGCTGCGGCCGGACACGCGCGTCACCAGCCAGCACAGCAGCTCGGCAACTGTGATCCACGGCGAGTCGACCGTGTTCGGCGGCCTGTTCACGCGGCCGCCGCTGCCCGTGGAGAACGTGCACGACATCACCGAGATTGTGCACGGCACCGGTCGGCAGTCCGTCACCAAGTACATCACGCGAAACCGAGCAGTTCACTCGCACAGTCACCGCCACCAAGACCGACATCCGCTTCGAGGTAAGTTGTCCGGGGCACGGCTGCTGTCAGTCCCGAGACCCATGAGAGAATTTTTAAGACCAAGTAAAGCGGAAAGGTTCTTGAGTCACCGTGTCCGTCTTAGATATGCGGCAGCTGATGCAGGAGGTTGCTGCCCTGCATGCCTTATGTCGGTATGCCCGTTGTGTTCTTTAAGGGTACGGGTTCCAAAAGCAATTTAAAACAAGTGCTGATCTACCCATGTGGTCTTTTTCGCTTTCCCCTGACTCATCTGTTCGGATTTTCAGGGGAGCTCCGTGGTGACCAGCACCAAGGTTATCACCAGCACCCTGCCGCCCATCACCATCGTGTCCACGGTGATCGGCACGTCCACGCAGGTCCACACACTCAACACGGCCACGCCCACGCGTGTGCAGCTGCTGTCAACAGCGACGCGCCTTCCGGCTCCCGCAGCGCCGCGCGCGCCGCCGCCGGAGCCGCCACGGGAGCCGCCGCGGGAGCGGGAGCGGGAGCGGGAGCAGATCGCCATCGCTGGCGTGTACGTGCCCGACTCGATCGAGCTCGGAGACATACGCAAGGGCGTCGACGACGACAACGAGGTGAACCGGGTGGTCATCAGCCCAGGCGTCGGCCAGCAGATCGTGGTGGAGCAGAGCGAGGCGGTGGCCACGCGCTGCGAGCGGCCGTGCCTGCCGGCTATCTTCGAGACGTGTCGGCGCGTGGGCGGCGCGTACCGCTGCGCCTGCCGGCCTGGCTACTCGCGCGCCCGCGAGCAGGATCCCTGCGAACGTGAGTGGACGACACAGCTGAGCTGAGGGCGGCCAGGTACTGGTGACGGGATCATGGCGTAGGCGGCGATGAAGAGGATAGGGAGGCAACGGCCTCAACCTGAGGTTTCTTTGGGAGTGACATTCTTACTATATGTACAATGTGCCGTGTACCAAAAGTATACCTTGCTTTCACAACATGAACATATTAAAACGCCTGGTGTGGGTAGAAGCGTCTCCTCAGAAGCATGCTCACCAAGGTAACGTCTTCCTCGCCTCGTCTGTTGTCCAACTAGCTCGTGATGGCTAAAGCGCCCCTCCGTCGCGCCCTGCACCGCGCAAACTGAGTCGGGTCACTCCCGGGACTGACAGCCTCCTCCGCCGCAGCGACTCTCACCTACCGCCTGCACGTGCTGCTGGACCGCGTCAACGACATCCCGCTGTCCTTCCGGCCGCCGTTCGCCGACCGCGACTCGAGCGAGTTCGGGCAGATGGCGCGACTCACCGAGGCCGGTCTGGGCGAGGCGTTGGCCGCCACTCCCCTCGCGGACCGCCTGCACACCACCCAGCTGATGGGCTTCAAGCCGACGCGCGCCGCCGGAGAGCACGGCAGACCGCGCCTCGACGGCCTGATGGCCGAGATCATGGTACAGGTGAGGCACACCAGCTACCAGCTACGGGTTTCGGCGCTAGAAGCAATCGCGCTGCATTGTGCACCTGGTTTTGCATTGCGTCCGTGCACCGGTGCACGCAGTGAGTCATGGAGTTTCACGCTCAATTCTCTGTTCGCTAGGTGTCGGACCGAGAGAAGCAGTCGCTGGACAAGGCCGTGCTGCAGGACACGGTACAGGAGGCGCTCCGCAGCACCAACTACTCACTGGGCGGCCAGCAGGTGGTCGTGTCCAGGCACACGGACGCCATCACAGCGCTTGGTGAGCTCCCGGCGCGGACAGCCGACTGAAGGGGGGAGGGGGGGGGGGGGGGAGTAAGACGCTCTGACTTTATGGCTGTGGAGAGCCAGCTCTGCGTTATAAGTCCATCTGAACATTTGAAGCACGTTTTGTGGGAACGTGGGATGAAGTATAGCTCAGTCAGGCAAGATGATAATTGGCAAGCAAAAGCCATAGCGGCTTGCATGCTCATTATGCCGTTGATCTTCCGAGCAATTATCAGCAACACACAAAAACGTGCATCGCGTCGACAACATGAGTTGTCTTCTAAATTTGTTGTCTCTTCGCCACCATAAAACAACGCACACCCGAAAAGATTGCCTTGCTTGATGACGAACTCGATGACATGTCTACGGCTCGGAGTCATGCCCATCATTAGTAACACTGCCTCTCCGGTTCGGAGCCATGCCCATCACTAGTAGCACTGCCTCTCCGGCTCGGAGCCATGCCCATCACTAGTAACACTGTCTCTCCGGCTCGGAGCCATGCCCATCACTAGTAACACTGGCCAGTCAGCCCAGTAACACTGCGCTGACGCACTCGCAGACTTTGACGAGTGCCAGGAGGCCGACTACAACGACTGCCACGCCTACGCCTTCTGCTACAACCTGGTGGGCACGTTCACCTGCAGCTGCAAGGACGGCATGGTCGACATGAACGTCAACGAATCGCCAGGTCGAGCCTGCTCAGGTCTGTTTACAGAACGCGATGGAAAGTCTGCAACTTGACACTCCGGCGTGCTGTGACCGTTGTCCACGAGTCATGGTGCAACATCTTGAGTTGTCCCAGGACAGCTTCCAATAGTTACAACCCAGGGGTCATGATCATGTTCGTGTTTAAACTGGGCTGACGGATGTTCGGCAGCACGGCTCGCTGCTGGCCGCCTGGCGTCCTCACCAGTCTCCCCATGACCATCCCTCTTCATGCCTCCCGCCGTGCGTCTATCCCTTGACCCCTCCCCCTCACCGTGCATCCCTCCCGTGACTCCCCCTCACCGTGCGTCCCTCCCGTGATTCCCCCTCGCCGTGTGTCCCCCTGTGACCACCTTCCCGCGTCCGCAGCCGAGTCGGCTGGCTGCAAGGAGTGCAGCTACAGCGGCGAGTGCTACACGCGGGATGATGGCGCCACCGGCTGCCGTTGCCACCGCTGGTACGCCGGCAACCGATGCCAGATCAACCTGCGTGTGCTCCTCATCGCGCTCGTCACCGTGGGCGCTGTGCTCGCGCTCATGCTGTGCGCGTGCTGCTTCCTCTGCTGCCGCCGCAAGGGGCGCAGTCACGTGGCGCCACCACTCGGTAAGTGGGGGACTCCGGAGCGATAGCGGCAGAGGGTGCCACGCGGAGAAACAACCGGCTAATCTTCTGAAAATGCTGTGTAGCTAGGGCCTGGTGTGGCGTCATCTTGAATGTGTTGCTAATATCAGCGCGGCTCTCGCATGCCACGGAAATTCCTAACAGGGAATATCAGGGGGCTCGACGGTATTCCACTGTAAAACAGCTTAGACCTCACAGTGTAGGCAATCAAAGCCTTCGCCGCGGACATCGCGGAGAACCTCAGTCGAGGATCAGTGCTGCTGCTGTGCGCGGCCTGCAGCTGACGCCAGCTGTAACCGCTGATTGCACCTGTTCCGCCAGTGTTCACCGGTCCGGCCGGCTTCCTGCGACACCGCGGCACCAGTCTGCACAACCCGGTCATCGAGCGACGAGCCATGCTGGACAGCAGCAGCGACACCAGCGCCGCCAGCCCGCCTCGCCGGGTACGTCAGACGCGCCGTCCGGGTCGGCTGATTACCGCACGGGCTGGCGGGGATTGAGGGGACGCTCGCGGGCCTCAGCCAGGTGCCAGAAGCATTTGCTGAACCTAACTTATGCTGTTACAGCAAGCGAATGCTTGAGCTGTTCCTATTGCTCCTTTATGTAATATCTCATAAATTCATTGGCTTCAGAACCACTAGATCACCTCTGTCACGGCTGCTCTGGCCACTTCCCAGCCGGTCACCTCCGCCACGGTAGTCTGCCCGCTTCCCTGTCGTGCGCCTATCTCACGGCCGTTACCTGCTGGCAGGTCCCGGCGCCGGCCGGCACGAGGCGGGCACCGGCGCCGGCGCCGCCGCCCTCCATGGGTGGCCGGAGCCGGCGCTCGGGCCGCACCAACCCCAGCTTCCAAGAGGACCGCAGCATGGCGAGCACGGGCGTGCGGCCGGCTGTCTTCATCCCGCGTGCCAAGCACAAGCACCCGCGGCCGGCTAGCGCCGGCTCGTCGGCAGTGCGGGTCGGCGCCGACGGCTCTGCCGACCTGCGCAGCACGCAGGTGAGCGGCGACGCGGCCAACGGGCTCGGGTGCCACAGACGGCCGATGGTGGAGAGTCGCTGGGAACGGGTTCTGCCGGGCTTCTGATGTTAGAGGATAATGTTGCACGTTGTTGGGGGGGGGGGGGGGGAGGGAGGGGCATTCGTCTAGTCTTCATGAAGGAGCTAACACTTGTCTGGTTTCCAAATTTCATAATTCTAACGGGATGGGATTTCACACTTGCACAGCGCACTTTCTCACTCTCTATTTGTTGCAAGGCACACTCTGCGGCAAGCATCGCTGAGGCCGTGTCTCTACCAATCCAGTCCTTGCCCGTGTTGCTCAACCAGCACCTGACCGCCTGTTTGTGACGGCCCGCAGAGCCGGCTCCTGAGCGTGCTGGAGCCGGGGCCGCGCGGCCGGCCGCGAGCCGGCACCTTCACATCGCAGCGCACGGCACGCAGCGTGAGCAGCGGCCGCCGCGGCCGCCGGGAAGAGGTCAGCCACCACCCGACCGGGCGGAGTCGCAGCTCGGACAACCTCAGTCAGCGCGGGGCCGACTCGCTGGCAGACCCGGCCGACTACGGCTCTCACAACTTCTTCCGCGAGAGGTCAGCTGGTCGGCGCGGCGCAGGAGACCCCGCCGGCCCGGCGACACCGCGCAGTGCGATGCTCTGCGCTCGCTCTGTCCAGTTCTCTATATGCGATTTGATTTCTCCAGGCCAATATCAGAAAGCGACGCTTACAAGTATTGGGAAGCGACGTACTAATTCATGTTCCGCGATAATCTAGGCTACTGCTATTTTCATTCCGCGGATGTCCGCATCAGCAAGTCGACATGCCGAGAGGTCGCCTGCAGGCTCGTTACCTGACGCCGTCCCGATTTCCCGCAGGACGATGTCGGAGGCTCGATCGTTTGACGAGACGACGATCCGGCCAAGCGTTCGCAGCATGCGGGGCTTCGGCACGCAGTGCAGTCGGCTGAGCTCCAGAGCGCTCAGCTCCAATATGTTCACATACGTGAGTGTTCCACTCAGCGTCACCAGTCAGGCTGAGCTCCAGAGCGCTCAGCTCCAATATGTTCACATACGTGAGTGTTCCACTCGGCCTCACCAGTCGGGCTGAGCTCCAGAGCGCTTAGCTCCAATATGTTCACATACATGAGTGTCCCACTCAACGTCACCAGTCAGGCGTCGTGACGACGCACATCTGTGCCGTACGAGCTCAGATAGCAGCTGGAAGATGCTGAGTGGTCTCCAGTCACGTGGTGATGTTAGCTGTTCTGACTACCATTGATGCAGCCAGCGTGGTGTTGATCCATCACATAGTGTTGATCCATCGCGTGGTGTTGATCCATCGCGTGGTGTTGATCCATCCATACAGGCCTCTGCGCCACGAATGAAGCGACTCGCGGCTTCGTTCGTTCGGTCGTTCGCGAAGCCGTTGTACCCACGAGTGTGATCACACTCACACTGATGAATCTGGGAGCCCTCCTGGTGGCAGGGTTGAAATACCATATATTGTCGATGATTATCAATTACAAAATACGATTTCCTTGCCAGGATCATCACACTATGGCGGAGCGGGATGCAGCATCCACCTTCGTCATGCCGGAAACGCAGCTGTTCCGGCCCGCGGCGGTATGTGCAAACACCACTCTGAATATATTAAGTGAATGAGATCGATGTTTAAGTTTGCATCACTTGATCCATGCACGTGAAAGACCTGATACCGCTGCAAGGTCGGCAATATTACTTTTGAGGTGATCTGGAATGCGAGGCGGTGTTTCACTCCCTTTGGACCACATTTTTTAGAAATCTCGCCAGCATCTAAGAAATCACCATAGTGTGATTGTTTGCGTATGATGATTAATAAGACAGCAGGCTGTGAGCAGCATATTCTGTAACACTGAGTACAGCATCCAGCCGATGCCGTCGCGCGCACCTGGCTGGCCATGCCGCAGCTGCTCACACCACGACAAGCGGACGGCGGGCCGGCGGCTGACGCTCCGTCTCGTTGCAGGACTCGGACGCCCAGTCCGAGTTCAGCCTGGCGGACGACTTCCCGCAGATCCACGCGTCAGGGCGCGGCTCCAGACCGCCATCAGCCACCGGTAGCCGGCGTGGTCTGCGGTGAGGCCAGCGCCACCTGCCGGCCCGATCGGCCTGACATCTACCGGCGCACTATTTATTGACGTGTGTGAGTCGCGCAGCCCGGCCGAGGTGCCGCGGCGTTTGCCGGCGCGAAAAAGGTCAAACAGGGAGGAAGGGGAACGGTGTGCACGTCCCACTCCTGTTCGCTTTAAGTTGTTATCGTTATTCTGTATTCCTATTGTGTTGGAATGTCCGTTGACGAGCCCACATTGATTCGCACTCTGAACTTGCGGTGCTTGTGAAATACTTGCTCAAGAGTGCTGTCCCCTTCTCCTCAGCGGAATGACAGGAATTGTTAGCTGTAGACTACATGTAGAATGATACGAGTCGATTTGTACATACCTCTGAAGTCAGAAAACGGAGCAATGCTCCGTAAGTAAGAGAACATAATACGTGCGTGATTGTCGTGTAGCTCCGAGTATTGTGATTGTGCCAAACGAGGGCGGTGTTTCCGTGCGACCAGCAGCCGTATGGACGGCTATGCACTGACCGATGTAAATACTCAATAGCCACGATGCATATAGGCCAAGTCAGGACACGAACTGAATTCATGAGATCGGTGATGGGACTAAATCGTGAGAAGGATGTGTGCAATGATTTCAGAATATATCGATATGTAGCTTTGGACTTTGTGAATTTGACAATCAAGGACACATTGTGCAAAGGGATTGCTCACCTGATCTATACAAAGCTCTGGAGCTTAGTTATCCCCATCACGCGCCATCACAACCATCACGGCCCATCACATTCTCGCACGAGCGAAGCTGCGGGCTCGGCGCGGTAACCGGATGTCCGCGGCGCCACACGCGGGCCGCCCGCGGGCCACACGCGCCGGTCGACCGCCGGCCATATCTGAGGCAGGATTGCGCCTCCCCCCCCCCCCCTCCGCCGAACGGGGGGCCGGGTGTGGCTTGTGCAGACTGCAACGCCGGCGCTGGTGTGCTCGCACGTGAAGATTGCAAACGCACGTGCTTAAATTTATTTCATGACGTTTTTGGTGCTCGGTTCTGAGAACAGCATGAGATTTCCGGGTGAACACCACCCTGAAAAGACCTAGGCCAATACCGTGTACTCTCTGATCATATGATGGCTGCGTATGTGAATTAGAGCTCTGTTTGTCGTATACAAACACAAAAACTGCACAAAAACACTCACAAAGTTGCATTATTTGAAGACATAGAAATTGACCCCACTTCAGGTCACTCGCCTTGCCATTTTCGAGAAGTCTGAAAAATGAAACCTGTAGGTACTATCACGTTTAATTACTATAGCAAGTTTGAGGAATGTCAAATAATATGCAACAAAGTGATATGTGGCCAAAGTTTTTTAGGGTTGACCTCTTTTACCTGACCTATGTCACTGACCTTGGTAGATGACAGCTTCAATTTGCTAAAAAGTATATCAAATTGATAGAACAAGAGGCACGGAAAAAATGGTGTTGGTGCAAGCGTTCTTTACCGATCTGTGTCCGACAAGCGTGAGGGGAAGTTAACTCTCGCCGGCAGGGCGCTGGTTAGCGGGCCTGTCTAACCATTCAGGGACCATTTGAACCCCCAGGCAATTATTCAGACGCAGACATTTTTTCTGGCTGCTCAGGGTCCGAACCGTCTTGCCGAATGGGCGGAACAACGCGCAAAAGCCGTCCTTAAGCCTGCAACTTGAAACGGCTCTCGCAAATCTCAATCTGGCACTACCAAACACAGCTCCAGATCATGAAACTGAGCCCTTCTGTCAGCAGGATGTTCAAAATGAAGGTTACCTTCTGCCTGAAACGAAAAGTAGCATAACGCCCACAGAACTTCAAGCCGCGTTTAGCAAGCATCGTGCATTACACCGCATGCAAACGGGTCACGGGTCAAAACGCATCCACAAGGAAGGCATGACACTGCACGTGGCAGGCGTTGAGCTTTTCAATAGTCTCCGAGACAAAACATCCATTTTCAAAGCCGGAGCTATGACCATTCTAATTACAGCTACGATTGAAATGCGGGAAAAGCACACTTACATGATTATCTGTTCCGGCTCCAAGTCGGTTTTGCAATCAATCAGTGACACAGCTGATCAAAAGCACCACATCGTTGACGCCATTGAGAAAGCGGTGCAGAAGCAACGTTTGGATAATACCTACCTCCGATACTTCGAAGACAGACATATTCAAAGAAGGGAAATATGCATGTTGCGTGCACAACCGTTACGTCTGCGTACGGCATACATGGCAACAGAATTGCGTCAACGGCTGCTGCAGTGGAAAGGCCTGCCAACAAGTGGCGCCGTGTCGTTGTGTGGTCGCTAATGGAGTTATTTTGGACTCGTTTGCTCTGGATGCCAGATAACGCGGCAAGTGGCGCTGGGTTTGACGTGCGCTGTTAGAAGTCTGCTTCAACAGCGGCGACAATGGGAACAGCTCTGTTAAAACAGATAGGTTTCCTTCTTTGTAACTTCCCTGTCACCATAATTTAACATCCATGGAATAAAATAGCTGCGGTTTTCATGCTGCGTCATTCCAGGTCAGATAATGCCGAATCAGACAAACGAAGGAAATTGCCAAAACAATTAGATGTGTGCGTAGTTAACATAATTCATATGACTCGAAACACATGATGGCAATTTGGTTTTCGGTTTGTGAAGCGATATGTGCTGGTAAGTTTGCTGCACATCTAGATGTGCTGCATTATGGCTCCGCTTACTAGTATGCTTGCCCCGTTATGTCACAGTTTCTTCGTTACTTCGTTACTTCGTTACTTCGTGTTTGTTTCAGAAACAAAAAAGAGAACTTTCACGTGTCTTAAAGTCTTGTTTATCCGCGTCGATGAAAATATCATCGCGATCACAGTTCGTTACAAATCATCAAGACGAATGTTTCGATGAATTTGTCATCAGTTTCAAAGAAATCGCTGACTTCTCTGATTTCTGCCAGATGTCTGACGTCTGCCGAGCTCAGTGTGTCCTCCGAGGTTCGGCCTTGTGTGGACCTCACCCGTCTGAATCGATTTTTTTCTCAGAAAAAAAACGGATTACCCAACAAGAACACCTCACGAAGCCGTCTCAGAGGTGGAAATCCACTCCAACTTTTTCATGAAGATGGATGCAAAGTTTGAATACTTCCTGCTTCCCCTCGCCGAAGGAAACCAGGATCTGACTTAATGTATTACTCCATGCAGGGATACAACTTTTGTCCCGCCGTCATGGAATTGATCACGTCCGGCGGGGAATACAACAGGTAAGGAAGTCACGTTCTGGGTGATATCCCACATGCACTCAAAACCGCGGGCGGCATTCTGGTGTACGAGAGGAACTACCCAAGCCACCTACAAGCCGTCATCAGCAATCACACTCAAATCAACCAAGTTCGCCTTCACCGAACCAGGCACAGAATTATCCAGGTTTGGCCTCTCTTCCTCCTTTTTTGGTCATACTGTGCAATGCCTCACTCGCAAACGAGCCCCGACTGAAAGGTTTCTACGCCCCGACGAAACTCTGCTGTCCCGTCCCTCGGCCGTCGCCGGCGGTTATTCAAGGTCGAACGGCCGTTTGACCACTTGGACTGCGGGGCGACCCGGAAATGACACGAAAGCATGCGCCATGCAAAATCACATGGCGCGCGTATCACGCGTCAGGCGCTCAATGATGGAGTTTGCTCTCTCCCACACGTTTGCACGTTTTGTGCCACGTTTTGGCACCCAGCACAAGCACACACTTGGAAGTGACACGCTTCGATAAGGAACGGAACGGGCAGGATAACAGTGATTGGTCACACGCATCAAGTGTCCTGACGCCCTCGTGTTTAACTATAGATCTGGGTACCCCTGATGGGTTACACGTTTTGTCCTACATCTCGGCACTCAGAATTTGGAGCGACTCGGGTGTTATGCCTTGACGAGGAACGTAACTGTCATTAGCTTGGTGAAAACACAAACACAAAACAAACAAAACAAACAAACGAAACATCAGCTGAAACGTGCCACCTGACGTGGCGCACTCGTGCTGGAAAATTAATTTGGTTGTTTTCGAAGAAATTGCATGTCAATGCGATATCTCAGCACCCAGGGAAACGTTGCAAGAGTGAAATGCTGCGATAGGCAAGCGAACGGGCAACCACGTGGTGCAACCTTTGAATTTTCCCCGCGTCATTTGTCGCGCCCATACGAGCTGGCAAGACGGATTTTGCTATTTACGAAGATTTTCCTGTTTCGCACCACATTTCGCCACAGAGTCTACGAAAAGATTCGGGAGTGTCATGCGTCAGGACCGAATGGAAGTGGGTATCGAGTGGTACCGGGGGTTTGGTTACATAAGTCAAGTGTCACACTCACATGACTCTCGACGAGTTTGCACGTTTTGTACCACATGTCGGCACCAAGGGCACGGACGTACTCGGAAGCCGCACGCAACGATAGTGAGTTAGACAATCACATGGTGCAGATTGTAGTGTTGCACGTGCCGCCTGTCACACGTGTGTGAACCAACAGACGTATTTGGCCGTTACCGACCGTTTTTTTGACGTTTCGCGCCATATCTCGGCACCCAGAGAAGCTGGAGGCGTTAATCCAACTGCAAAAGTAAATAGTTCAAATTAATACGCTTTTAAAAAGCGCAGCGGAGCAAGCGTGCAAACGCTTGTGCAGTCTAAAGTCGTCCAAGAAATGCAAAGTACGTGGTGTGCAGGCGTGCGCAGACGCACCAGGCTTCACAACCATGCCCCCAATGTCGGTACTGTTGAGAGGGCCGCGGCCCGTGCTGAGCTGCGCCTTCGAGCCAGGGAAACCACGGAGTCATTCCACAACATCCGCCGTGCTGCAGAGGCAAGCACGAGTCGGCCTTCGCGTGCAGAGATCGGACTAGAGACGGATGTCAACCGAACCATACGTCGTTACCAGTCGCGGGTGCAAGGGCCGCCAGCGAAGCCATGCGATGTGGAAGATGTAACAGTAGGGTACACGGATGCTCTCGCCCGACCCGTGGTCCCTCCTGGGAGATTTCAGCTGTACGAGTCAGGTGGACGGAGACTACCGTGGAAACGGTTGCTGGCCTTGGCTAGCGACTGAGGCCTTTACCCGCTGGCTGCTGGTAAATAACTGGCCGCCGAAGACACTTTCATGTGATCGCTTAGCATTTTTCCTGCAGCTTATATAATTCACATCAGTGTGTTGGGATATTGTTGTTCCGCGCGCATGCGCCTTACTGGGTGGAAACAAAACTGAAAATGCATACCGGCAGCTGCTGCATAAGCTTAGGGTCGCTATAGAAAGAAGGTATCCCGGTTATGAAGATGACGACTTTCTGGCGACCGGTCTGGAGAGAGCTGCCATGAATGCGTTTGGAGAGATCTTCCAATGCAAAAACCACAGTGCAAGGACAGTTCCATAGCTCCTTGCACTTGTACAAGGAGCTGTGGAAGAAGATGAGACTGGCCCCCAGACTGCTTGCGAAGAAGATCCTGATCTCACCAAAGATGAAAGATGATGTTACGCCTTATCTGCTTTATCGCGCTCTTGGCACTGGTCTTCCCATTCATGATGTGAAATAGATCTGTGATGTTATTTGACGCAATGCGGCAGAGTTGACATTGTCTCCCTTCAACAAAAAATGTGCGATTGATTACGGTGGACACACCTTCCCGAAGAATG